CAAGAGCTACACCAAGGCCCTCCACTCTCTCAGGCGGCGCCGCAACAAGGAGCGCCAGCAGTTCACGCACCTGGAGCTGAAGAATGCGCGGCGGATTCGGGGCATGGCGTTGGTGCCCCGACTGGCTCGGTCTCTGGCTCGCACGGGCATTCTACTCGAGGCACCAGCTGAAGCACCTGGAGCAGTACGGCGAGCCCCGCCGTCGCCTGTATCGACTGGTGCTCAACACACGGCGGGTACGGCAGCTCCCCCAGCAGGCCCCCTTGTCCTACGGAGGAGGAGGAGGGGGAGTGGGAGGAGGAGGAGGAGGAGGAGGAGGAGGAGGAGGAGGAGGAGGAGAGAAGATGAAGAAGGAAGGAGAGAGGAGGAGAGAGGGGATGAGGAGGAGGGGATGAGGAGGAGAAGGGGAGGAGGAGAGGAGGAGGAGGAGGAGGAAGAGGAGGAGGAGGCGAGGAGGAGGAGGAGGAGGAGGAGGAGGAGGAGGTCGCCGCCTTCTGCATGTGGTGTGCAGCTGGTGGCGCGCGGTGATCCGTGGTGGTCTCCTGCGCGGCGGAGCGCTCCGGCCACCCGTGTGGGCTGCTGCTGCTCGAGGCCGTCGCCGCGAGCATCTGAGGATGACGACGTTGATCGCGGCGTGGAGGGGCCACCACGGGGGGCACACATTGGAAGGGACCTCTCAAGCTTTCGTCAGACCTGCGCAGTGCCCATAAGAGTTAGAACGCAGCTGAGCACAGGAGGGCGTGCAAGCAGCTACGGAGCTCGGACATGCAGAAACAAGGTGCGGACGACGCTGCAAAGCCCTAGGAGAGCAGAGCATTGACAGCGCGAGCATCTGAGGATGACGACGAGGATCGCGGCGTGGAAGGGCCACCAAGGGGGACGGGCCATGCTGCGCAAGAGCCACGCCGCCACCAGCGCCTTCGGCTCCGGCAGCAATGCACAGCTTGAGCAGGGTGTACGCGTCCGTCTCGAGTCAGGACCTGATGAGCTGGATGAGGAAGCCATTGACTTCGCCATGACGATCTCCAGCCTTCGCCGCCAGGCGCTGACGGTGATCGTCCCTGGCGCGGACACCGAGGTGGCTATCAACAGCGGCACGGGGGGCTTCGTGGGCGACACCTCCGAGCCTGAGATCTGCATGTTCAACTACCATATTGCAGTACAGAAGTGGGCCCTTGTGGATCAGGCGGCTACGGGACAAGCTATGCTTATCGATTTCAACGACCGCCTCCCCACAGTGGACGCTAGCTTGGGCGGCTTCATGAACGACATCTTCAAGGCACAATTGGTTCCAGACAGCGCGCGCACCGCAAAGGACGTGGTGCTTCACTCGAAGAGGAGGAACGACACGGGGTTTGACCAGGCGCTAGCAGCCAGCGAGTACGCCCAGAACCGGTCCAAGCAAAATGTCGTCCCCTCCCTGGGCTCGAGGCAGCTGGTACGGCAAATCATTAAGGAACTCGCGGCCAGTGGCTGTCGGCGTGGATATGAGCTGAAGCACCTGGGCACCCGGTTCAACGCGGTGAACTCCAACGCCAGCGAGCTGCAGTGGCGATCAACAAAGGATGGATGATGGTGCATGGGGTTTTGGTACTCCTCCTCGCCGAAGCGCGTGAAGCGCCTGATCTTCATTTCCCTGGTGAGTGGCGCAGCGCTATCAGGTACTGTCGCATGTTGATGGACGGACAAGAGGCGCGCCAGATATGCAGTTCCTTATCACAGAAGTTGCGCTCGATGATGGGCGGAACGTCTCGACTACATAATGAGCCCGTGCAGGTGATGACTACACGAGAGGTGTATCGTCGTTGGCAGATTGTCCCGTTTGCCCTGGAAGCTACTGTACAGAGCCTTCGTGCTTGGCAAGAAATTGCTCGCAGTCCTCGCAACCATGCCCACGTGCTGGCGGTCTTCTTCGGCGAGATGATGTGGAAAGATACGAATGAGTTTCGCTGTCCACCAACACTTGTGGAGAGCGGGCAGCTGAATGCAGATGCTTCTACTCATCCCTGGGCGTGTCAGCTGCGACGCGATCTCGAAGTCCTCTGCGGCTACCCCGAGGCAGAGTCCTTTTCGCTTGCCTGGAAGAGCCGCTCGATGAGGGGCTTGATTTGGGATGAGGAAATGAACGGCCTCTTCGTCTCCCTTGACCCGAGGTGCCTGCGTAGCGAATTCGCTGCTGTACCATGGGCCCCACCTGGCGCGTTGGCAGAGTTGGTACCCCCAGCTCAGGATGATAAAAACAGTTGGCAGGATACAGATGCCCGTCAATTCGCTTGTCAGATCCGAGGAGACCCAGGCGGCCCCGCATGTGGAGCAACATTTAGGACACGCGCAGCACTGGTAGCACACGTATGCCAATCACGACACGCAGGGCACGGGACACACAGTATATTCCACACACACACACACTTACACCGAGCAGTGCATTCATAACCTGTGGCACGACATTCCACAAACCAACGCGGAGACAATGCGACATTTAGCACGCGCGTGGCACGCAAGACAATGCATTATGCACAACACGGCGTACCCGTACGAATTCCGAGAGACATATTTTTCCGTGAGTGTGCGTTGTGTTGCCTGGGATTCCCGTCGTACAAGCTGCTCCGTAGTCATCCTTGCTCGCGCCTGCCGCCGACGCAGGAGGGGCGGTTCATATCCATAGCGAAGCCACGGCCTGTACCATTGGCTCCGAGACCGCAACGACATCAGTCGCGACCTGCTGGTGACCTCCGACTTCGTGGCTCTGACGTCCGCACGGCTGCTGGCCTCTGCGTCCCGCGCCCTTCTCATCCCGCTGACGGTGGCGAGCAGCGTGACCAAGCAGAAGGACATGGCAGCAGCGTCGTCGGTGATGGAGGTCGAGAAAAAAGACGGTGGCGACCTCAAGTCTCATCGGCCAGCTCGCGGACTGGCGGGACAGCATCCAAGCCCGCCGACGAGGCGGACAGCCGCAGGGACCAGAAGGACGCCTCGGAAGCTCGCTTGGCTCGACGACCAGGAGGACAGGAGGGCTCGGCGGTGAAGCCGAAGACGAGGCGCGGCGGGCGACGCCGCGCCGAGGCCAAGGAGCGCAAGCTCACGACCAAGGGCGGCGGCCGCAAGGAGATCCTCCTCCTCCTTCTCCTCCTCTCGATGCTGGTGTCGCAGCTGGCGCAGCGTTCGAGGGCGCTCTGGGGGATCAACACGCGGACGATTCTGATCGAGCAGAAGTCGCCAGTCATCAAGGCGATGCAGGCGCAGTCCAAGGACTTCGCGGAGGTGGCCAACAACATGCGCGCGGAGGCCACGATGCCGAAGGAGCCGGCCAAGGCGGCCAAGGGCGACTCAGCGGCCTCGCGACAGCACGACACCGATCACTGCACCGACCTTGCAGCGCGCTGCAACGGATTTGTGCGTGGATTCTGTCGATGCAAAACCCCCCAAACGGCGACTGAAAAACGCAGTGAATTTCGCGTGGATTTGTTTTGGTCTTCATTCCTGGCCAAAAGAAATCCGAACGAAATTCACCTCGACATCCGGAACGAAATTCTCCAGGACACTCGGGGCCTTTCCTATCGTTTTCCGAACAAGCTCCGCTCTGCGATGTTGGCGCCATGACACCGACGCCGAGAGAAGGATGACCAGCTTGCGTGGGTTGGGCTCTCCTGCACCCGCGGACTTCTGCGCGATGATCGAGGCCCCCACTCAGGAGGAGATCGGCAAGAGCAACAGAGAGCTGATGCAGCGCCGAGTTAGGGAACACCCCTCTGTCCTTCGTGAGGCCGTGCCGCCTGGAGGGGCGCAAGCAGACGGGCATGCCGAAGATCGTCGTCGCTCTCGACAGGACGGAGGCCGAGCTGCAAATCATGGAGAGCTTCGCCTCCGTGGGGGCGACGGTGACGATTGGGGCAGCTCCGGGCAGCTCCAGGCAGTTACCTGGAGGAGGAGGTCTCGGCGTGGATCGGCGTGTTGAACGATTCGAATCGGAGGATCTCCCAGCACTGTGGCCAGAAGCCGAAGGAGATGTCATCTTCGAGGGCTGGTTTGTTGGACTGAGGACCGAGCTGAGAGCGCGAGCACCGCGCCGTGGCCATCGCGCTGTGCTGTGCGGCCTCGTGCGCCTGGTCACAGAGCCGCACTCGGGTGCGGACGGCGGACGCAGAAGTAGTTTTGACCCCGCTCCTCCTCGCCCTTCGTCGGTCGCGGCCCTCGGCATTTCGCTCGGCCTTCCTGCTTTCGGCCCTCTCAATTCGGCCCCCTCGGCCTGTTCGGTCCCTTGGTGGACTGCTCGTGAGCCGGGTGTGTACACATGTATATATATATATATATATACATATACATATATACTTATGTGACACTGCTGTTTCCCTTCCGTCCCCCAAGATGGAAGACGATATGTTTTTTTCCATGGGGTCATCTTCCACCAGTCCTTGATCTGTCAAATGTCTCCACGATATGTGCTCGACAAACTCCCGCTCTCAGGAGACCCGCCGACTCCCCCCACCCTGGCGTCCTTTTTGCCCGGGTGGGCGGGTGGGGCAAAATTCTCTCGGCTAGGTGGTGCAGTGCTCCCCTGCCTCCCCCCAGCCTTGACATACGTTTACGGACGATGCCGCTCCTGAGCGCGCCCTCGAAGAGGGCCAATCCAACCCTGTCGCAGACAATACTCTGCAAATGCGGATAGGGATGAGGGGGGCGCTCTGGCCTGCCCAGGCCCGTTCCGGAAGGACAGATAAGATCGCAGGAAACATCCAAGAAGGACACCTCGATTTGTTACGGCCGCGTCGCCAAGCGACCTCAATTGGATTCGCGTGAGTAGAACCCGTCACACTGATGCCCACTCCTCGCACGACGGAAGGGCATGCGTGCACTCGCGCACGCGTGTTCGCAGGGCAACATAATACACAATATGCTGCGCATATGAAGTGCTTATGTGACACTGCTGTTTCCCTTCCGTCCCCCAAGATGGAAGACGATATGTTTTTCCATGGGGTCATCTTCCACCAGTCCTTGATCTGTCAAGTGTCTCCACGATATGTGCTCGACAAACTCCCGCTCTCAGGAGACCCACCGACTCCCCCTGCATTCAGCCGTCTCCGCACGAGTCTCTGGGCGAAACTCGGCGGCGACACTCGCCGCACCGGGGCCCCGAAGGCGCTGGGAAGAGAATCAAACCTGCCCTTGCTCGGCCCATCGGAACAATTTCTTGCTGTCGGCACTCGGCTGAAATACGCGCGGCTTCCAGCATGCTCTTTGGCCCGCCAGTGCTCGCCCAGAAGCCACACGCTGGCCGGCGACGGGCTGTAGCCCTTGATCAGGCCAAAGCGGGCGCTGTCGTTGTCAACGAAGCCAAGCACGCTCCTGCCCGGGTGCTGCTCAAAGATTCTGCCCCACTTGATTCTCGCCGCCACCATGGGCAAAATCTCGAGCTGGCCGATCAGCTGTTCATGCCCCGTCTCGCGAGTCAACTGTTGCATCAACACGCTGGGGACGTCGCACCCGAAGGCTTCCGCCAACCTCGACACAGGGTCGACCAGCACTGCCCCGATACTCCCTCGAACCACTCCGTCTTCCAGTTCGCACGCGCCGTCCGTGAACAGGACCAGCGGGGACAAGGCGCCGAACAAACGCACGATGCGGGGCCTCGCGGCGGACAGATAATCCAACCGCCACCGGAAAACTCCGTCGAGCACGCCATCCACGCCTGTCCCCGGGGCCTTGCCGTCCGTTCTCCTCCGGAGGTGCCACGAACCGGCCGCGCCGCACCGGCCGAAGATCTGCGAGGATGCGAACTGCAGCTTGCCCACAAGTCGCGCCGCCTCCGCTGAAGGAAGGCTGCGCGTCCGCAGGATGCCCTGCACGAGGGCCGTGAGGGACTCTCTCCTCTGCGTGGTGTTCGACGCGACGAGCTCGCCGCGCCCCATCGCCTGGCTGAGGTCGAACAGCACTCCAAGGGCGGGGAAACGCACGTCAAAAGCATGGTCCTTGGCGTCCTTCAGCCGGAAACCCAATGCGTCAGCGCACGCCCGGAAGGCCTCCTCCGCCCACTCAGAGATGACCTTCGGCACCACTAGCGGGTAGTCATCGAGGTAGTTGATGATAGGAACGCCGCATGCCCGAATGGCGCAAATCTTGAAAGCAACGGCAGCTCAGCTGAACCCCAACACCCAGGCCCGGGCTCCAAAACGCAGGGCGTGCGCGATGAAATACCACAACTCGCCAGGACAGCCGGGCTCCGCACACGCAGTCACAACGCAGTCGGAATCGGCAGGGGCGACAGCCAGCTGCTTGTACGCCTCCTCAAGATCGAAGCACTTTCCGACCAAGGTGTCGTCTTTCCACTGGCGACGCCCTCTCAACACTTGGCCCGACTGCAATGTCCAGGTCATATCTTCTGGCCCTGCCATGAAGCGCGCCCAGAGTTTGGCGACCGAGGCCACCCCGTCGACTCCCTCCCACGAGATTTTGTCCCTGATGGTGGCGGCACTGTTCACGGAGGAGGCCGTGAGGTCGTCGATCGGGCGCACCTTGTCACCCTGTACCACGCCGAAACGGCGGCTCGGGACCCACCGGGGCCCCAGAATCTCATCCAGCTGATGGGGAGAGAACGGCCCACTGGCGAGACCCCTCTGCACCTCGGCGCGCGTCTTCTTCAGGACCTCTGCGTCGATACTGCTATCGGCGGCGCGGTGCTGGCTCGCGGCCGCCGCCTCGAGGGAGGCCCGGACCGCCGGCGCCTGCTCCCAGAGCCACCGCTTCGGCCGACCCTCCTCCACCTTGTCCGAAGGCTTGTGTGGAAACGCCCCGCAGCAGACGAAGTCCCCTACGATCTTGAAGCCAGCCGCCATGTCGTTCGCGACGCCCGCGTCGACGTGGCCCGCGGACAGGAGCATCTTCTTGAAGACCAGCACATTCTTACCGTTCAACACGCTCTTCACCCTGGGATGCATCTCCTCGTGAAGGCGACGCTCGGCACCTAGGAGAGATGCTGCTTGCTTGTTCCAGTGTTCCTTTGCTGACTCAAGCTTAGCTCTAATGTCGCCCAATGGTGTGGTCAGGAGGTCGAAGACGGCCTTGGCGACGTTGTCGTCGACTGCTGGAGGCGCGTCGAACGGGTGTTTTGCGAGCAAGGCGAGGTCCAGGAACTCCTGGGGCGCCCAGGGCACGCCGAAGTTCAGCCCGCCACACCCCCCCGCTTCGGGATCCGCTGAACGGAAGGGAATGGCCCCAGCGGGAACGACGGTGCCATCGTGGAGCTGCACTGCATGGCCTATGGGCTTGCACATGGTTACATCGTCCACTGTGAGCTCTCTTGCAGGGATGACCGTTTTGAATTCTGGGACAGCGTTGTGGCCGAGCTTGGACCTCTGTCGGCCCACCGCCACCCATGGTGAGGCTGCATCCTGGCCCAAGCTGACATGATGCTCCCCGCCTTTGGACTTATCCTTGACTTTCTGCGCCGCCGTGTACGCGTCGGCCAAATGACTCAAGTCCTCGTCAAAGGCGTCTGCGGCGATGGTGCACATGGTCTCGGGGTACTCGCACTCCGCGGCGGACGACGTGCCCCAACGGTCGCGGAAGCACGCGCCCCATGAGCTGTGCTTGTGACTTTTGTCGCAGAGTAAACACATGGCGTCGGCCAGCCACCTTGAACTGGTGAGCAGCTTGGCCCTTTTGTCACGAGCGCCGCCGTACATGCACTGCTGGAAGATGACGTCGTAAACGCCGGGAAGCGCAGCTAGTCTTTCCAGAGCTGGGTGCTTCCAGATCCAACTGTTGGCTGGGCTCTCAATGGCCCGCAAGTTGCCGTCCCCATGCAAGTTCGCGGCGGATTCGGCTGTCACCTCCGCAAGCTGGTTCTCATTCGAAACCTTAGCGGCCTCCGCTGCAGATAGACGAGGGGTGCCAAGCGGGTTCTGGCCGTCGCGGAGCGGTCGCGGGGCAGGGCCGGCCCCCTGCTGGAGCTGCGCAGGGATCGGTTTCTCCCTGGCTCGGCAGAAAGTTTCGCCTGGCGGCGCAAACCACACGGCCTCGACGTCGGGGTCGCCGAGGAGGCGGTGGAGCGTCTCGCGACCAGGCCCTGTCGCAAGATCCACTTTGATGATGGGCACGTCCGAGTGGTGTCTGTTGCCTGCCCAATCGATCGCGAGAGTCCTTTACCCCTTCTGCATCATCTCATTCGAGAGCCTCGCGCTGCCTGCGAAGACCTCCACGAATTTGAATTTGCTCTTGATGCAAATCCCGCCAGCATCAGCCTCGGGTCTGTCAGTTTGGCTAGATACAGCGGCGCCTCCACCGCTCTCCACGCCGCCGACGCTGTCCGCCCAAGCTGAATACGCCTCTATCAGCACGTCGGCGTGACACCTACACGAGGTCGCACAATGGCACACCAAGCGCTTGCCACCGAACTCTGGCAGGCGCTTCATCATCTCGTCGTTCGCGTGCAAGTGCTCGGAAAACTTTGCGATGACCGCGTCGCGCGGCATCTCTTTGGAGATCTTGTATGGGTTTGCCCAGAAGGAACGATTGGCCGCCAATCGGCTGCAGCCCCGGCCAACGCACAGGTCGCCCGGCTCGAGAGCAGCAACTTCACTCGCGCATCCCCGAATGGGCAACGGGGGGGCGCGCGGCCCAGCGCCCTCTTGGAGCGCAACGGGACCCTCGTGGGGCCCTCACATGGGCATGGTGCGCTCCGAGATGGGGTGCTTGCCCCCGCATCCCTTCCTGCAGCACACGTGCATGCCGCGCGCACACCTGCCGTCGCGCACCTGCTCGCGGCACCGCCCGCTGTTGTACCCGTAGCAGATGGGCGTCCGGTCAGGAAGCAGGGGAACTCCACCTAGGGCAAGGAGCTCCTTCGGCATTGCAGGCGTCCACTTTTTTCCCCTGTCCTTGCCCTTGCGGGGCTCCGCGGCTGGCTGCGGCGGTGGGGCAAAAGCGCCGCCCTTCCCGCCCTTCCTGCGCTTGTGAACGTTGTCGTCGTTCTGCCAGGCCGCCTCTGCCTTGCGCTTGCTGCTGCTTGCGCCCGCCTTTGCCAGGGGCATCAACAGCATGTTCACCTCCACGGAGTCGAAGACCGTCTGGATGTGGCTGTCTGTCGGCAGTTGGTCCCGGGCTGTTGCCGGCCGAACTCCGCCGGCGCAAAGCCTTGACAACTTCTTCCACACCTCTTTGTCCGCGCTGCGCAAGTTGTCCAGCGTCGGCGGCTCGTACCTGTCGTCGGGGACCTCCCGCGTCAAAGCTGCAAGCAACTTGTTGCGCAAGAGCTCGTGGCCCTCAAAGGTCATTAACCTGGCCACCTCCATGGCCAGACCCCTCCGCTGGAGCGCCCAGGACACCTTGAGGGCGTTGCTAACGTCGGCCACGATGGGGTCACTGACGTTCCTCTCGCGCACGGTGCCGGTGCCATCTGGGAACCATTTTTTTCTTCCTGGCTGCGTCGTGAGCTCTTGGTCACGCTTGGACGCCATTTCCCAGGGCACCCACTGCAAAGTGTTTTCCTCCACCATCTGGACGAAACGATCCACCAGGACGTTGGAAGGGTCGAGCTCGCCCTCCATCTGCAAGCCAGGGGCCAGGCGCTTCCGCAACACCTCCTTTCTCGCCTCGCGCTCTGCCTGCGGGACCTTGCGGGGGGCGTCCTGGTCGGTGCGTTCCGTCCTATGCCGCAGCTCGGACACGGACAACGCGTGGCTCTCGAAAAACAGCCTCCTCACGGCCGCGGTCCTAGGCGGCTGCTTTTCCTCGGGGCCAATCTGGAAGAGCGGCATGACGATGGTTGTGCCGAATCGTACGTCCTCGACTATACCACCAGGGCCGCTGGACATAGCAAACGCGAAGTTGCCGTAGGAGGCCCAACCGAGGTCGACAAAGCGCTGGAAAAGGTCGCCCAGCCCGAGCTCCTCGAGCCTCTGCTGGAACACGGCCTGGGAGTCCACGATGCCGTGCTGCATGGTGGTTCGCGAACAGAGACAGAAGCGTGTTTGGGTGATCAGCGGACGGCTGGGCTTGTCGTTGGCACCTGAGCCAGCGCGGCAAAATTCTCTCGGCTAGGTGGTGCAGTGCTCCCCTGCCTCCCCCCAGCCTTGACATACGTTTACGGACGATGCCGCTCCTGAGCGCGCCCTCGAAGAGGGCCAATCCAACCCTGTCGCAGACAATACTCTGCAAATGCGGATAGGGATGAGGGGGGCGCTCTGGCCTGCCCAGGCCCGTTCCGGAAGGACAGATAAGATCGCAGGAAACATCCAAGAAGGACACCTCGATTTGTTACGGCCGCGTCGCCAAGCGACCTCAATTGGATTCGCGTGAGTAGAACCCGTCACACTGATGCCCACTCCTCGCACGACGGAAGGGCATGCGTGCACTCGCGCACGCATGTTCGCAGGGCAACATAATACACAATATGCTGCGCATATGAAGTGCATATAGCAGCAAGTTGAGCGAGAGCGGTAGTACTTATTCGATTGATCGCCCCACAGCCGTGAGCAAACAAGCAAGCAAGCTCCCCTCTTTGTCCTCCTCACCCCTGTTTCTCCTCTTCCTCCTCCTCATCCTCCTCGTCCACCTCCTCCTCCTCCTCCTCCTCCTCCTCCTCTTCCTCCTCCTGCCCCCTCCTCGCTGATCCTCCCCCATCCTCGCTGAGCCTCGCTCCTCCGTCCTCTCCCCTCCCCATCCTCCGTCCACATTCCAGGTGGAGAGGCCGTCTTGCGTATCCAATGTGTGGCTCGCCGCTGTTTTCAATTGGTTTGCCGCGGCTGTGCCAGAATCCCTTGCGATGTTCTTCTATGGGCCTTCGAACATTCCCGTGGGTTCTTTGGGCAGCACACGCGTCACATCTTTACATCGCTCGCGCACCTCTGGCTTCCGCCAGTCCGGCCCCCTTCCTGTCCCCGTCCTCGCCTGGCGGGCCCAGCGACCCACAGCAGGCGGCGGGCTCTCGGCGGGGCGCCCCCCGAATCGCCTCGAGGGGCCGCGAGCGGAACAGGAGCTGCGCTCGCTGCCCCGAGCCGTCTGATCGCAGGCGCACGGGCCGATGACATGCCTTTGCCCGCCGCCGCCCCTCCTCCTTCCCCGCTCCTCCCTGCTCTCCCCTCCTCATTCTTCTCATCCCTCCTCCATCGCGGTTCCTCTGCAACACGCCCCCCTCCTCGCCCCTCGCATCACCAAACGTGCTAGTAGGGGTGAGCTGGGCGTGTCGCTCAAGACCCTTGCACGCCGCACGATCCTGAAAGTTGAGGCTTCCAGCAGCTCTACGGATGGGGGGAGCGTGCCGTGTTCAAAAGGTGGGCTTCGCCTCTGTGCCGAGCACATTAGACTTGTTTGCACGCTTCTGTCAGTGACACGCTCTACACCGTCTTAGCCCCGCACGCATTCGCCTTCAGCATTTCCACGAAAGAACAAGGGACCTTTCGTTTGGTACCTCCTCAAGACTTACGGGAGTACCAGCGCACACGGATGGAGGGCGGGTCCTTTTGAACATGGGAGTCTCGCTTGACACCTCCTCATGGTCTCTGGCTCCCTATCAACATGGGGCACTGGCGACGAGAACGTGTACTGCAGAATCGCTGGTGCATCCTGGGGTCACTCTGGTCTTCCTCCTCCTCCTCCTCCCTCCTCGTCCCTCCTCCCTCCTCGTCCCTCCTCTGCCTCCTCCTCCTCCTCCGAGCGCTCCACCTCTCTCGTCCTCCTTCCTCCTCTTTTTCCTCTCCCCCGCCCCTCCTCCTCTCTAGAAGACAGGAGAATCACCCTCAGACTAAGCACCCTCACAGGCGAAGTCCTTTAGCAAACGCACCCGAGAAAAGAATCGGACAGGGTCACGACTGGTTCGTCATCGCCCAGGCCTGTCGAGTACAAGCCAATTATGGGTGTCGGTGTTCTTTTCCTCCCTTGACCCTCCCTCCTCCCCCCCTCCACCTTAAGGTGGATTGTTGGGGCCTGGGTGCTTTTTGTCCGTCTGGCAGGGCTGGATACAGCTACTGCCCTGACGGTTCTTTGAGCTCTAAGCTCCACCCTTGCGGCCCACCCAAAGGGGGGGAGGGGGCCCAGACGGCGCTGCTGCGGAAATTGACGCCTCCTCCTGCCGAGTCGCTCTGCTACTCCGCGGACCTCTCCCGGGGTGCGTCCTGACCAGAATGGAGGCGAATCCAGGCGTGGGTGGCGACGAGGGCCTCCCAGGACGCGCCACAATGGGAAAACGAGGCAAGGGTAGCTGCATCGGTACCTGTTCCTCCCTCCTCCTCCTCCTCCCCCGCCTCTCCTCTCCCCGAGCCTTCAGCCCGTTGGACCACCTCGCACCAACCGGCGTCGGTGAGGGTGTCCTCTGGCACGGCCCTCCGAACGTCTTCCGCCAGCATGCGAAGAGCAGTGTCCTCGAGGAGGGTGGAGGAGGCAGAAGAAGAGGAGGAGTGTCACGGCTGGATGGTTGAATGGGTGACCCTACCTCGTAACCTAAGCAGGGGAGTGATGTACAACAGTCACTGGCGATAACCCCCTCCTCACCCCAACGCCCATTTCGGATCCGATCGAATCCAGGCTGGCGGGTGGCATCCCTTGCGGGGAGGCGAACGTCTTCCAGCACGGGTTCATGCTGTCAGCTCGTCCGCTAAAGATCCGGCACAAGGTGGAAAGTACACCCACCGACAGCCCACGTATTACACTCCCTGCGCAGGTATGCGAAAAACCGGATGCCGCCGCACAAGCATCTCGCAGGTACACACGTGCAAATTCGTGTTCATGCCACTGCGTTCTACTGCACCACCCGGCAGGGCGGGCAAATCCTGCCCCCCTCGAGAGCACGAGGGTGGAAATCGTGACAGCATAAATTCTGGATGATACGAATTAGAAGAAAAATTATGTCACTCTCCTGCTGCGATTTGCTGCTGCATGATGCAGATCTATCGCGTCTAGTCACTAGTCTGTGCGCGCGTGCGAAAACCTGGATGCCGCCGCTCACGCATCTGGCAAGTACACAATTGCAGATTCGTGTTCCAGCCGCTGCTGTCTACTGCCGCCCCTGGCACGGCGGACATATCCTGCCCCCATCGAAGGCCCGAGGGCCGACACCGTGACAACGCGGATTGTGAATGATACGAGTCGGGGGGGGAACTATATATATCACTCCCTTCGTGTTTGCAATCTTGAGGCGTTGGTGCCAACTGAAGGCACCACACGATCCTGGCGTCACGGCGATGGCGGCCAAGAGGTGGCGGGCACCCAAAGGGGGTCAGGCTCGCAACATCACGCCAACAAAGCGTGCCTCTATTTGCCCCCCCTTTCCCTCTGCCCTCCCTCAAGGCCGCGACAGACAATGACTGACTAGCGACGGGTGGCAACTATCTTTTATTTTTCTCACCCTGCACTTTGCTTCAACCGCAGCCTTCTGAGGCGGGCCGGCTAAAGGTCCCAACATCTTTTTGTTGCTTTTTTGGTCAGGGGCTGCTCTTTGCAATGCGGGCTAATGCCCCCGCCTCCACTACAAGAGGGACGTGCGCGAGTGGCGGATCTAGAATTCGGGGGCACCATGGCCCTCTCGCCTCGCCCGTCTTAAATCAGGCTCGAAAGCGGTAAACATTCATCCAAGACTTGTGCCTCTCCTCTCGCGGGGTTCGGGTGCTTGCGCTGGAACCTCGGGTTCCAATTGTTCATCTTGTGCTCCCTTGCAGTCACCAGACAGTCCAAGTGACTTCTGTCCTTGACAGACAGCCCTGCAGCTGCTACAGACAAAAATCAGTTTGTCGTCCCCACGGCACGCTATGTACACTCGTTGCCTGCGGGGATTCGCAGCAATGGCGCTAAAAACAACATAATGCCCCGTGAACCAGGCCGTCTGGGAGGGCCTCTCATCCCGTGTAGCCGTAAGCACGAGTCAATGCTAGCAGATGTGGCCATCCAGTCCTCTCTGCCCCCTGGGCAGCAGCCCCACGACTGAGAAGCTCCCAGTACCCCGATGGTACCACTGCCAAGGATCAATCTACCCTGGGCCTCCTGGTGGTATGATTTCTCCAACTGGGCCGCGCCACATCAACGTTACCCCCCCAAGGCAAAATGTCTTCTCACGTCTTGGGGGTGTATTGGCGATCTTGCCGAATCGCTGACAATGCAACGCCAATGTATGAGGGATCAAAACCCCAGAAAGCGTGCACGTCTTACTGGGATGGGTAATGGCCGATCCCCTTGAAACGGCCGGCTGGAGGATACATACCTAGGTTTTGTATAGAAAATGCCCATCTCGAATGCGCGTTGAAGCGGGTCCACCCCCCCGGCCCCAATTTCAAAGTTCGGGGCTGTCGACGCGGGGGAGTGCGAGTCGTTTCGAAAAAGACGCCCACATTTGCAAACCGCGGCCTGCTCCCTTAGATGAACATTGAAATTGGGGGCGGGGGGGCGCTCTTCCGCCATCTTCTACGTAGGCTTTGTACTTGGGCGCTTTTTTCGAAAACGCCGGTCTGAACTCTTATAGTCCGTAGTTCTCTGCCTCTATGCCCCATAGCGCATCCCTCGGTTCGTTGGGGGGGAGTCTAGCATAGCGCTCCTGTCGAAACGCGCTGTTAGGGCAAAGAATGAAGGGTAGCACCCCGAATGGCGGATGCAATGCAAAACTGGGAACGGTGATTGTCGATCCAATTGAATGGACCGGCTGAGGGCTACATGCGAGCTCTTGGAGTCCGTAGCTCTCTGCCTCCGCGCCCTCAAATACTTATCCCTCGTTTCGGGAGAAAGGAGTCTAGCATGGGGCTCCTGTCGACACGCGCTGCAAGGGCACAGTATGAGGGGTGAGCACCCCCAAATGCGGACACCATGCCTTACTGGGAAAAGTGATGACCGATCCATCTGAATTGACTGGCTGAGGGCTGCAGTTGAACTCGTGGAGTCCGTACTGCTCTGCCCCAGTGCCCCCCAAACGTCGTTCCCCCGCTGCGGTAAGAGATGTCGGGAGCACTACTGGGATGGGCGCATATCCCTGAACATGTGACTTGGTTGGACGGTCCCTTCCTCAGCTGGCCGCAGTGCCTAATGGGCACAAGCGGCAGTAAGATGTGATTATGGTGTTGTTAGAATTCATGAAGCTATAGGTCGGACAAGCAACTTCATTTCTGGCATGCTAGCCTGTCGTGCTTGGACAAGTCGGCAATCACTTCTGACGACAATGGGCGCACCTATGAGGACTCCCACTGCGGGCGCACCAATGAGGACTTCGCAATGCATCACAATGGGCGCACCAATGAGGACAAATCCTGCCCCTCCCCCTACCCACATCTTCATTGTGCACCACGCCGGGCAACACTGGCCGGCAAAGAGAATGCGCGAAGCAGCGTGTGAGGGGTCACCTCCCCCAGAAAGCGGATAGCATGTCTTACTTGGCGGATCCACCTGAATCGGCCGGCTGAGGGCTATTTTGAACTCTTGGAGTTCGTAGCTCTCTGCCTCTGCGCCTCAAAAACATCTCCCTCGTTTCGTGGGGGAGCGCTCCTGTCGAAACGCGCTGCTAGAGCAAAGATTCAGGGGTCAGCACCCCGAAATGCTAATACTTCAATGTATTTTTGGGGAAGGCAATGGTCTATCCAAATGAATCTGCCACGCCAAGGAGGACAGATCCTGCCCCCCTCGCCCTACCCACATCTTCATTGGGCAACCACTCTGGCAACACTGGTCGGCAAAGATGATGCGTGATGCAAGGTTTGAGGGGTCACCCCCCAGAACGCGGATAGCATTGTCTTACTGGGAGGGGTCATGGCCGTTCCACCTGAATCGGCCGGCTGAGGGCTACATTTGAACTCTTGGCGTTCGTAGCGCTCTGCCTCTGCGCCCCAAGAACATCTCCCTCGCTTCGTGGGGGAAAGTCTAGCGTAGCGCTCCTGTCGAAACGCGCTGCTAGGGCTAAGTATGAGGGCTCAACACCCCGAAATGCGAACAATTCAATCTCTTACTGGGCAAGGTAATCGACTATTCAAATGAATCGACCGGCTGAGGGCTACATACGAACTCTTGGAGTCTGTAACTCTCTGCCTCTGCGCCCCAAGAAGAAGGCTATGCAACACAGTGGGCACACCAGGGAGGACAAATCCTGCCCCCCTCACCCTACCACATCTTCATTGAGCAACACGCTGGGCAACACTGGTCGGCAAAGATGATGCGTGATGCAACGCTTGAGGGGTCAACACCCCAGAACTCGGATAGCATGTCTTACTGGGAGGGGTCATGGCCGATCCACCTGAATCGGCCGGCTGAGGGCTACTTACCTGTGAACTCTTGGAGTCCTGCCTCTGCGCCCCAAGCACACCTCCCTCGCTCGTGGGGAAAAGTCTAGCGTAGCGCTCGATGGTTTGCGAGGCGTTTTGAGTCCCCGAGTGGCCCAGATGCAGACCTTTGGGCCACGCTTGGGCAGCTGATCGAAGGTCGCAGCTCTAATGGTAGTTCTGTCATTTTCGTTCACTCTCACCTTGGTGCTGCTGAGATCTGTTCAGGAGCGGCCCCGAAGTGGGCCGTCGCAGGCAATTTGTCTGTGGATGTCATTGCAGCAACAGCAGCAGCAACTGCTCGCCTCCCGGAGGGCCAGCGGCAGCAGGTGCTCTTACACGAGAGGCGTGCAAGGATCGTGCGCCTTCGGCTGTTGAGAGCGATTCTCGATGCGATGGGAACGGATGTGGCTCCTGGGTCTCCGGAAAATGCATCATTCCCGCCTGTCCCACGTCCTCCCTCTGCTGCTGCTCTCTCCCTCTTCTCTTCCTTCCACCGTCTAAACGATAGTGGGAGGCGGTGCACCTGTTGTGGAGGCTCGGTCAGCAAGGCCGCTTCAACGAAGTGGCGTCAGTCCGAATGCTTCAGCCCTGTCAACCATGATGATACCATCCTATGTAGCTCCCCCCTGGCGCGTCTGCACGTTGCAAGGGGGTGGGTGGAGCAGTCCCATGTCATGCAATCTCATTCACACTTGCAGCTGTGGTATTGCAAGCAGTGCGGTTGTTATGCCTCCTCTGTCTTGCGTGACCTCGGCAAAGGCTGCACCAAGCGTATCCCCCCACATCGAGCTGAATATCTCGATCGGGTTTCGCGAGGTTTATGGCCTAAGGTCCTTAGTGCAAGGGAGAAGCAGAACCGTGGTCGTGTATAGTCCTACTTTCATGTGTAATTCGTCACATAGTGCAGGCTCTCTAACTTTGTCACATGGTCAAACTCATACTCATACTCACACTCACACTCATACTCATACTCATACTCATACTCATACTTCTCCTCCTCCTCCTCCTCCGCCTCCTCCCTCTCTTACCTATGGTAGTAGTGTTTTGAACATCGGCCCATCAACCACCACCGCCTCCTCCTCAGTCGCCCACGGCCCGCCGCTCCTGTCCCCGACGCTCCCGGCGCTCCTGCTGCGGCTGCTGCCGTTGCACTTGCTCCCCCGTCTGCCCGCGGCCGTCCACCACCCCGTTGCCCTCTCCCTCCTCCCCCCCCTCCTCCTCCTCCTCCGCCCCCATCCTCCTCCTCCTCCTCCTCCTCCTCCTCCTCCTCCTCATCCTCCCTCCCCCCCTCGTCCCCGGAGCGCCAGGGCGCTCTGGGCACCCGGCCCACCTCGAGGGACTGGCCCCGCCCCGGCTCTTCTCTCCTCCCCCTCCTCCTTGCTCCTTTTTTTTTCTCTCTCTCTCTCTCTCTCTCTCTCTCCCCCTCGTCCCTCATCTTACGTTTCCTCCCTTTCTTGTCCCCGGCCTCGCTCCTTCGCTTCGTGCTCCACCCTCCCTCTGGTCGACTTGACGGTTGCGACTGCGACTTGTCGGGACGGTAACCCGAGCATGCTTCCCCGTTACTTCCTTCTCCCTTCCTCCTACGACGACTTGGACGACGACGACCACCGCAACAACTACGACGACGACGACGACAACGGCGGCAACGATGACGATGGCGACGGCGGCGACGACGACGACGACCACGACGACGACGACGACGACGACGACGACGACGACGACGACGACGACGACGACTACCACGACTACCACGACCACCACGACCACCACGACCACGACGACCACGACGAAGGCGATGGCGGTGACGGCGATGAAACCGACAACGAATCCGACGGCAATGAATTCGACGACCGCCACCGCATTGCAGTGAAACGGGTCCTGGACCAAGGGGCCTTCCCACAGGACCAACTCTTCATCATGCGTCGTTCTATCGCAGTCAGGGTGCCCGTGGTGGGGCCCCAGAAAGCCACAGCGAAACACCTCCTCCTACTTCGTTTCGATGACGATTTGCGGCCTGCTTTGTCGTCGCTGTTTGCGCCACACCTTCTGCGAGTATATCCGCCCTACATATCTGAGGCGAACATTGCCGCCCCACTTTTTCGCATCCATTGCGATGCTTCTCCGACGCAATTTCGAGTCGAGAGATCTGCGAACGCACGGCGGATCCGAATTTGCGGATGCATCCACCCTGCATATCTGAGACGGACTTTGCCGCCCAACATTTTCGCATCGAGGCGTCTCCGACGCAACTTCGAGTCGGGAGATCAGCCAACGCACAGCGCCCCGACCACCGCCACGACGACGGCGACGCCGCCGCCACCGCCGCCACCGCCGCCGCCGCCGTCGTCGTCGCCGTCGTCGTCACTGCCGCCGCCGCCGTCGCCGCCGCCGCCGTCGTCGTCGTCGCCGTCGTCGTCGTCGTCGCCGTCGTCGTAGCCCACGGGCTCGAGGTCTCCCCGCGAGTGGGTGGGATAGGCATTGAGGTAGTTTCTTGCTGGGGGCCCACACACCTCAGCAAGCGCGCACATATGTTGCCCTAACTCCCTCATGCGGCGGCTGGTCGGCGAGTGATGTCCCAGCTCCGCCTTCTCGGGTGGAATCCCATGTGGTGTTCAGGGTCCCGCTTGGAGGAGGTTGTTCTGAAAACTCAGAATTATGATGTCATCCTTCTGGCGGGGACCCATACTCAGGATCGTCCTCAACGGTACACAGGCAGCGTCGTATCTCAGCGCCAGGTTGCAGGCCGACTATGGGGTCCTCAGGCGTCGTTCAGTAATTCCAAATTTGGTTGGTCGGTGCTCTTTGGTGGAGGAATCGAAGATCGGCATATTCACAAAACCTGGCCATCTCCCCCCGAGGCCAAAGGCAAGGTCCTGAGAGTACGGGTTAAACGAGGTAGTTGCGACGTGTGCGCCATCTCCCTATACTTCCCTCCTCGTCCGTCTCGCCTGTCTCAGCGTCCTCGCTACCTGAAGACAGTCAAGCTGCTGATCGACTGGCTAGGGACGGTGCTCCAGGCTCTTCCTGCCCGTTGCACGCCATTCATATTTTGTCACGCGAACGATGGACTGGGCACCCCTCCAGGCTGCAAAAGCGCGATCGAAGTGTCGGTCGTGGAGGCGGCCAGCCAGGAGAAGTATCGGGGAGGAGCAGGAGCGAGAGTACGGGAAGTTCTGGGTCCCCATGGCTTCTTCGCGGGCAACGCGGAGGGGGACAGGGTGGTGCCCACGTTTTTCGGCAATGATGAGAGGAACTCGCGCATGGACTATTTCTTCTACCCACTGGGCATGCGTGAGCAGGTTAGTCAGTGCCATGTCCTCCATCACTTGAGGGCTAAACTGCAAGCAGTCTCTGGACCTCCCCCCCGTGATCATCTACCAATATCGGGAGCATGGCGTTCCCTGGAGGTGGAAGAGGAGCCTGTGCATTGGGTTTGTACAAAACTCGCTTCTGAGCTGCCTCGAGAGCTTCGTTCTGTACGCAGGCGACTACGATGTCCTAGACATTTGCTTAGCACGGCTAGGACGGGCGGTGCTAGGAAGTACGGCTGAATTCGGGGGTCCTCACGTGAAGACTCTTGGCAACAAGCAGGTCCTATCACGTCTACGTCTAGCGCCCTCCGAGACCGAGCTGCTTACCCGCAGGCTTAAGCTATATCAGAGTTGGAGTCGGAGCCCCACTGATCATGGTCAGGTGTTGTGGTGCTCTCTTCGGGGTTGCAGACGTTGACAAGCTTCGGCCTCAGCTCATTGCGGGACGACCGTCGCAAAAGGCATCTCCATGGAATCGCCAGGTCTCGTCCGATCTTGAACGTGCCCGCCGGCGCCTTCGATGTGAAGGCCTACGCCGAGTGGCAGAGTACCTCCGCCTGCTAGCGGATGCGGACGCTTCTGAGGATTTCATTGCTATTGATCTGACCGAGATCCGCTCGGCTACTTTTACGGTCCAGGCTCCTCCACCTTCGTGCTTAAGGGCCCCGCGACCCCATACTGTGGATGCTCAACATGTGGATGCTCCCGAGCCCGAGGGACCAATTGAGCTTTCGTTCGTGTGCGAAATTGTGATGGAGGGGGTCCCGTGTACGCGTGCGTTCGCCACTCGCAAGGGACTGCTGGAGCACATCCGGCATCATCATCACCTTCGGAGTCTTATGCGTTTTCTAACCCCCTACCAATGCATTAATTGTCATCAGGTTTTCTCGTCACGGGAGACTGCTGCCAGGCACCTGGGGAGCTCTTGTTCTTCGTGGGCACTGCGAGACAATCGGCCCGCATTCGTTGGCTACGTTGCAGACCCCGTCCTTATACGATTGCCCTACATGTGATTACAAGGGGTCCGTCACCATTACGCTCTGTCGCCATGTGGTCGAACATCCCCCAGCTTCCATACAGCCCTACCATCATAGGCCTCCGAATGTCCGTGACGGGATCAGAAGCGATCGCAGCGGCGCCGTCGCGGTTCGAGGGGCTGGTGGCGTCGGGAGCAGGCCCAGCCGACAAGCAGGGCGAGGCCAACGGACTCGAGCACGAGCAGCCCGAAACAGAACGAGAAGGGCGGCAAGGGCGTCGGCAGCGGCAAAGAGATGAATACACGTCGGTCGGAAGAAGTAGGTAGAATCATGAAGTAGGAAGGCGGATATAGTAGATTGGGTCCAGGTCCCCCCAGAGAATAACAAAACACAGCAAAAGCATGCCGATTCTTGAAGTAGGAAGGCGCTTGAAGTAGGTTGGGATCTAGGAATCCAGAAATACCTACTTTCAACGACCGGCGTGTACGGCGGTCCGCCTGATCGTCTCCAACGCGAAGGAGATCGCGGACACGGCGGCGGCGCTCTGCCTTCGCTTCGAGCTCGACTCGGGGCAGCCGCTCGTGGCAGCAGGAGCGGCAGCAGGGCAAGCCTACAGCGAGGAGTCCAGGAGTCTCCGCACGAAGAAGGACAACGGAGAGACCGTCAACCATCGTCTACGCGGCCCTCCACACCTCTCGATTGTGATGGCGGTGGCTCGTTACGAGGCAACGGAGATCATCCCAGAGTGCGAGGAGGCAAAGAAGAAGGAGCTGACCCAGCTGAAGCAGCACATGCACGACATGTGGCAGAACGGCTTGAACGAGGTGACGCAGGCGAACTTGAATCGGGCCGCCCCCTACTTCCGCATCCGCATCCAGAAGAAAAAGGAGGGCGAAAGTCAGAAGGCGACGATCGTGTTGAAATACGATCCGTCGGTTCCGCTGGGAGCCGAGCAAGGCCCGATGCTGGAGCAGTTGGTCGTGTCGGAGGGAGGGGTTCCGCTTCTTGGGTCAGCGCCAAGGGGCCCTCTGGAACGGGACTTGTTGAAGTGGTTAGACCAGGAGTGAGCAGCGGCAGCAGCAATGATCATATTAGCCAGCAGTTGCAATCAAGCGAGAGATTAGCACCATTAATTAGTCAGGGCGTGGTTCCAGCTAGCGTGCTTGAGCAACCGAGCGAGAGGCAGGTGAGCTGGCAGGCTAGCCCACTGCGGCCTACCGTGCCAGTGCTGGAGCATCCGCGTAGCCGCGGTAGAGGCCGAGGGAGCGGACGGGGTGGGAGGTCTGGTCGTCGGGGGGGTGGTCGGGGGAGGGCGGGATGAGCTCCCTCGTGCTTCTTGTATCGGGCCCCGAATGGGGCTGCGTGCCTTCAAGGGGTCTCGATCGGCCGGTGCTGTCCTGTGCAGTTGGCGACAGTCGCTGCACAGTTTCGTTGGAATTCATTCGGAAGTTTCACGAATTCGTTTTTTACGGGTGATTGCCGCCATGCTTTTCGGATTGACAGGTGCTCCCCCTCAGAGTCCAGCTACCTTGCAGAGCAACGCGTGCAGCAGTGCATCAGGATTGCAGGGACTCCATGAGCTTGAGTTGAGTTGAGTCGTCGTCGTCGTCGTCGTCGTCGTCGTCGTCGTCAGCCCGATGCGACGAGGGCGGCCAATGCCGGCGGGCTTCGGGCCGAGGCGGGGCGCGGCGTCCGGCTTCGGCTCCAGGAAGAGCTGGAAACCCACGGCCTCCAGGAGGGGCAGCTCGGCGCCCGATACCCTACGGGCTGCTGCCGCGGCAGGGGGGGGAGGGAGGAGGAGAAGGGACGGAGAGAGTGAGGGGGAGGGGGGGGAAGAAGAGGACGAGGAGGGCGAGGAGGGGAGATGAGCGAGGAGGAGGAGGTGGAAGATGGAGGGAAAAGGAGAGGAGAGAGAATGAGGATGAGGATGAGAATGAGGAGGATGAGGGGCAGGATAAGGATGAGGATAAGGATGAAGATGAGGATGAGGATGGTGACGGTGATGGTGATGGTGTTGATGTTGAGGTTGATGATGATGATGATGATGATGATGATGATGATGATGATGATGTTGATGCTGATGATGATGATGATGTTGATGATGATGATGAGGATGAGGATGATGATGATGATGATGCTGATGATGATGATGATGATGATGGTGGTGATGGTGGTGATGGTGGTGATGATGGTGGTGGTGATGATGATGCTGATGCTGATGTTGATGGTGGTGGTGGTGATGATGAGGAGGAGGAGGAGTACGAGGAGGAGGAGGACGAGGAGGAGGAGGGCGAGGAGGGAAGATAAGGAAGGAGGGCGAGGAGGAGGGGGAGGAGGAGGATGAGGAGGAGGAGGAGGAGAGACAAGGGAGGGAGCGAGGGGGCAAGATGGAGGGACGCGGCGGAGGAGTGAGGAGAGAGGAGGACGAGAAGGACGGAGGGGAAGACGGGTCAGAGGAAACGGGAGCGGGGAGCACCGAGAGGAGGGACAGGAAACACAACACACAACACGAGGAGCAACAGCAGGACCACGAGGAGGGCGAGTTGGATTGAGAAGACGTGCGTATGAGGGAGGAGGAGGGCGAGGAGGAGAAGGAGGAGGAGGAGGAGGAGAAGCGCTCTGCCACACGAGAGGTCAGATTCCTCCGCCTTTTCCTGCCTCAGACTGGCCTCGGCCGTGGGCCTGCGAGTACCTGGGATGCTGGGAGTCACATCGAGCGCAAGTCCTCCTCCTCAACCGCCTTCGCCTCCTCCCCCCTCTCCAACCTTCCTCTTCCTCCTCCTCCTCCTCCTCCTCCTCCTCCTCCTCCTCGCTCCCTCTCTTCTCTCTCCCCCCCACCTCCCTCGTCCTCCGCCCCCCCTCCCCCCCTCCCGCCGCATGCCTGGCGCCCTCGCCCTCGCCGAGGCCGGCGGCCTGGGCGGCGGCCCACCCCGCGGGCCGCCCAGAACTCTCCGACATCGCGGCCCGTCGCCGTGTTCGTCTTCGTCGTCGTCGTCGCCTTCGTTTTCGTTTTCGTTCTCGTCTTCGTCGTCGTCTTCGTCGACGTCTTCGTCTTCGTTCCCGTCTTCGTTTTCGTCTTCGTCGTCGTCGTCTTCGACTTCGGGGGGGGTACCCCCATGAGCGGGGTGTCGTGCCAAAGTGCCCCCTGGTGGAGGCGGGGCCCAAACCCCCGCCCCCGGGCGCCCCTTCCGTGGGCGATGCCAGGTCCCGCGTCCTCCCCCAGGGCGGCGCGGGAGCTCACTCCCCGCAGTCGCCGCCTTGGGACGAGATCGGCGGTCCGTCCCCCCCGACCTCCACCTCCTCCTCCTCCTCCTCCTCCTCCTCCTCCTCCCTCCTGCTCCTCCTCCTCCTCCTCCTCCTCCTCCTCCTCCCTCCGCCTCGCTCGGTCCTTCTCCTCCTCCTCCTCCTCTCCTCCTCCTCCTCCTCCTCGTCCTCCTCCTCCTCCTCCTCCTCGTCCTCCTCCTCCCTCCCTCCCACCCTCCCTCCCTCCGTCCCTTCTCCACCTATCTCCTCCTCCCTCCTCCAACTCGGTCCCGGGTCCAACATCGTTTCTCCTGGGTCCTCTGGGCGATCGGGCGGCCTGGCCCGTACTGTACGGTGCGCCGACGGCCCCCCAGACAACCAACGCCTCGATTTTTTCGGGACACGGGCCCCCGACCTCTTGACCATGTCCCCGGGACCGGTTTTTCATCCTGGGTTTTTTTCTCACGTTCTCGAGGCCCGGCAAGGGCGCCGAGAGGCCGAAAACTATGGAAAACCTCCGTCTCGAATTTTTCGAGGCGCCCGATGTCTGGGCCTTTCTCCCTCCAGGGAGCGATGCAGTTCGTGGCTGGCCTTCCGTTTGCCCTTTGGGTTCGGTTGCCGCCGCGTGGTGAACGGTTCGGGGGCTCCGCGGGCGCGCCAGAGGGCGCGACAGCCGCGGGGCGGAGCCCGGACTGGATTCGTGGCGCCATTGGCCCCGCGGAACAAGAAAGTCTTCGTTCTCGACTTCGACTTCGTCTTTGTTTTCGTCTTCGTCTTCGTCGTCGTCGTCGTCTTCGTTTTCGTCTTCGTCTTCGCCGTCGTCGTCATCGTCGTCGTCGTTTTCGTCGTCGTCGTCGGTGGCGGCGGCGGCCGCCGCTCGCGCGTCCTGGCGGGGCTAGCAGAGGCCCAGAGCCAGATGTCGCCGACGCGATGTGGTCTGTCGGCCCTGGCGTTTTGCCTCGACTTCGGCCCCTGGCTGGGCGCCGCTTGAGAAGGGGAAAGGGGGGGGCGATCAATCGGTGGGGGGGAGATGGGCGGACTTCTCGGGCCCTGAAGGCCGTAAACGGCCACTGTTCTGCAGCCCTCGCTGCCCCCGCCCCCCCATTGATCGTTCCCCCGTTGCGCGACGCCCAACCTGGAGCCCGCCATCGGGCCCCAGGGCCATAAAGTGCGGGCCCAGGGCGAAAAATCACCCACACATCCGGCGCTCCAACTTTTTCGATGCGTGGGCCCCAGGAGATCTAAACAGTTTCCCCAGGACTGGTTCTTCGTCATCGGTCGTTTTGTTGGCGGCCCGGGGCCCGTTGAAGCCGAAAATAACAGCAGCAACAAATCCGCACAGTTTTAGTCGCAACCTCGGGTCTCTGGGTACCCGCCCCCAAAGGGTAAGTCGGGACCTGCTGGGGCCGCGCGCGTAGAAAACCACGCGCCGTCGAGCGCCTGGGGAGGGCCCTGCGTGGCTCCACTGCCGTGTTGCTGCCGCGCCACGCAGGCTGGCAAAGGCCAAATGAAACCCAAACTCTGTCGTCCACCTTATCATTATCACTCCTCCTCCTCCTCCTCCTCCTCTTCCTCCTCCTCCTCCTCCTCCTCCTCCTCCTGCCTCCTCCCTCCTCCTCCTCCTCCTCCTCCTCCTCCTCCTCCTCCTCCTCCTCCATTTTTTTCTTTAGAAGTAACGTCTCCCTGTCGCACCCCGAAGCCAGTTTTTAGGGCGGGCCGGGCGTTTCGCCTGAGACTCCTCACCGCTTATGACCCTGAAACGCAAAAAATGACAACAATTTCACAGATGGAGGGCAAGTCGTGTTCAACATGTGACTCTCGCCGCAGCGCCACGTACATTCGTTTTAAACATTTGGAAGAGTTTCACAAATGCAGGGCGGGTCGTTTTCGAAATGTGGCTCTCGCTTGGGCGTCACGCAGGTTCGTTCAAAAACTGCAAGAATGTCACGGATTGAGGGCGGGTCGTTTTCAAAATGTGGCAATCGCCTAGCGCCGCGCACATTCGTCTCAAAACTTACAAGAGTTTCTCGGATTGAGGGCGGGCTGTTCTCAAAATGTGGTTCTCACGTTAGCGCTGCGCGCATTCGATTTAACAAGTTCCAAGAACTTCGCAGATCGAGGGCGGGTCGTTTTCAAAATGTGGCTCTCGCCTTGGCGCCGCGCATTTTTAAACAAAAACTTGAACGAGCTTCATGGATTGGCGGCTGCTCTTTTTCAAAATGTGGCTCTCGCCTTGGCGCCGCGCACATTCGCTCTGAAATTGTTGAAAAGGCCACACGGATTCCCATGAGTAACAAACCAGAAATGGTGTTTTGGAAAGATTTTGGATTATGGGGGCGCAGAATTCATGCTGATTCGCAGCGCTTAAGCCCCAAGAATGGTGTTCTGGCACCGCTCAAGATCGCCAAGACGCAGCAGTCAAGTTGATCCGTGGCGTTGGACTCCCGAGAATAGTGTTTCGGCATGCTTCAGGGTCTTTAAACGGCTGCTTCCGACGAAGCAGTTCCCTCAGTGGTAATGAACCGTTAAAGGGCCTATGAAAAAGGAGCTTGGAGAGAGGGTTGGCCCCAACATCGTTCATGACTCTTGGGTTTTTCTTCCTCCTCCTCCTCCTCCTCCTCGTCGTTCCTCCTCCTCCCTCCTCCTTTTGCGTTGGCCAGACCTTATGTGTGAACATGTGGCGTTCTTGCGACTGTAAGGAAGCGACTCGGCGCCGAACAACCTTGGCGGGTGCCGCGGGGCGCGAGCCAAGACAAATCAGGGAAAATATAAAAAACGAGTCGGCATCCGCCAGGTCCTCGAGGTCGGCAAACACCTTAGTTAGCACTGCCAGTAATAAGATAAGAACAACGAAGACAGGTATAGGCCCGTAAGATCAGTTGGTGATGCCGCCTCGGCAAATAAAGCAGTTGCTGCCATGCACAGAATGGTGTGTATACGGGCGAGCACAGTGCAAGCATGTACTTTGGAGTGCTAAACGGCAGCACGAACACATAACAGTAACTAAAATGCGAGTAACAACTTTGAGGTACATGCTGCTGGACAAGAAAATCAAATGAAGAAAAAGTGCACAGCGAAGCCGTGACTGTGCTGTTCGAAGGTTGCTGCCCAGGGTTTGGGTTGACCCCAAACCGTGTATGAATGTACTCAGTGTACTTTTCCACCCCAAACACGACAACCTCCAAGCCCCATCCCTTGTTCGGAACAAGTGCCATCTTGGCAGACTGCACTTGTGAGCAAGAGGAAAACACTGACTGTGATGTTGCCAACATGTGCTTGCTTCTAGAGATAGTAAGGCTGTCTAGAGGCGAAATTGTGCCGCCAAAGAGCAGTTGCTGCGTCCGGGTCTGCAAGTAAATGCTGCGAATGTAAAACAGTGGAGTTGTGCCGCCAAAGAGCAGTTGCTGCCGTAGGGTATCCACTACTCCCACCCAACTCCAGTCAACCTCCGCCTCCCGCCCATCTTCCTGCTGTATTTTACCAGTCCTATGACGGTATCTGCTGCGAGGTGGCAGCAGAGTTAGGCCGGCCTGTGTCAGGATAAGGCTGGCCTGAAGGCAGTACAGCTGTACCAAGTATTAAAGATATGTGTTGCTGCAATGACACAGCATGGTCGTATTCTCCCTCCTCCATCGCCACCACCATCGGTCCCACATCCACCGATCAGGCTGGCCTGTAAGATAAGGCTGGACACAAGATAATGTGGAGGGCAAATAGAAATGAGGCAAGAAGCCGTGCGGTGATACGCGCAGTGAGGTGGCCTCCCTCCTCCCCCTCCTCCTCCTCCTCCTCCTCCTCCTCCTCTTCGTCCTCGTCTTCCTTCTCCTCGTCTCCCTCCTCCTCCTCCTCCTTCTCCTCCTTCTCCTCCTCCTCCTCCTTCTCCTCCTCCCTCCTCCTCCTCCCTCCTCCCTCCTCCCCCTTCCGTCCTCCGTCCTCCGTCCTCCCTCCTCCCTCCTTCCTCCTACATTCCTTTTCCTTATAAATCACTCCTCCTTGTCGCAACCCGAGACGGGTCGGTAGGGCGGGCCCAGCGCTCGCCTGATATTGCTTGGCAAACTATGGTCTTGAAATTTAAAACTTGCCAGAGGTTCACGGATGGACGGCAAGCCGCTTTCAAAATGTGGCTCTCGCCTGAGCGCCGCGCACGTTCGTCTACACAGTTTGCAGCAACAGGTTTACGGATGGAGGGCGGGCTGTTTTCAAAATGTGGCTCTTGCCTGAGCGCCGCGCGCATTCTTCTACACAATTCGCTACAGGCTCACGGATGGGTCGTTTTCAAAATGTGGCTCTCGCCTTTAGCGCCGCGCACATTCGTCTAGCAGTTTACAGCAGTTTGTCGTCCCAGACATGGTGTTCTGGCACGATTGAGGACTGTCAGGGCCCAAGCATCGGCCTGCAGTTGCCCAGACATATGGCGTCTCGACAGAATCGAGACGGGGCGGCCTCTCAAGGCCCTCACTGGGCATCGGGACCGTCAAAACGACTCGGGATAAAAAACCGGTCCAGGGGAAGTGGTCGAAAAGTCGGGGGCCCGTGTCTCAAATCGAGACGCCGGATGTCTGGGCTTACCTCTGGGTTCAGGATCACCCCCTGCCAGCACCTCACCAGTCCAAAGGAAGGCGCAGGACGACCCACAAGTGAGTCACACTGTCTGGATGCCCTCGTTTTTCAGCTGGGCTTCTCCTCGGGTCCTAGGCGACCGCGCTCTCTGAGATCACTCCATGCCAACATCTGGCCAGTCTGGAGCAAGTTGCAACATGCCCCCAAAGCGGACCACACTCTGCGGATGCACGGGTGTTGCTGCTGCTCGGCTTCTACCTTTGGGTCAAGGCCCACCACCAAGGCATTGACGACCCCATGCAAGCACCTTACCACTCTGGAACGCCAGAAGCTCAAGACCACTCCCACACAAAACGACCCCAAAAGATCCTGGAAAGAAAAACCGTGGAGGATCCCCCGGAAACCCTGGAGACAGGAGACTTCCTGGAGGTCCCCCCAATGCATGGTGGCTGAATAGGCCGTAGGGCACTGACAGTAATTAGCTACGTTTCCCACCTTCTACTAGGACTCAGTCTCCTCCAAAACAGAATCGAGCATACAACACTGCCGTAGCACAATGAACCACCATCCTCATCTTGGCCCCCCTCTAGTGCGTATGCTACGTTCTGTTTTCTTAAGCGCGGCCAACTTTAACATCTTCACTGCTTCATGCAAACAATCCGTGCCGCTGAGGGTCCTTTCCTGTGTCTCACAAAGCTTGCCTGGTTTGCTGGGGCCGCCCTCTTGGACTTCGACGTGGGTTTTGACGTGGATTTGAACGTGAGTCTGGGTGTGGGTTTGGACTGGGGTGTGGACGTGGACGCGGGGCTTGGATGTTGGCTCGGACGTGTGCCTAGAGGTGGATTTTAGAAACGAGTTTGAACGAGCATAGGGGCGTGGTCGAGGCGTGTGTGGATGTGGGCTCGGGCGCGGGTTCGGACTCGAGCGTGGGCGTGGGCTGGATCCGGGCTTGGACCTGGGGTTGGAGGGGTGTGTGTGTGTGTGAGAGAGTGAGCTGGTGCTCCACGCGCATGGGTTGGCACGCGCAAGGTTCCACACGCACGCAGGGCTCCGTACACACCGTGGGTTTCTACACACAGAGGGCTGGGTCCACACAGGGCTTCACAAAGCCAAAATTCCTCGCAGTAAGGTTCTTCCCCACATCCGTTCTGGGCGGGCGCAAATCGCCCGTGGCCGTCGCGCGGGAGACCCAGAGGGGGGAGACTGGGAGGCCGAACGGGCTCCCCCAAGCATGCACACACAGGTTTCCACACTCATCCACCACCGCGCCCTGGAGGCACGAGTTGGAGTGTCCTCGGGTCCTTGGCCTAAACCCCTGCATCGAGTTCAGAGCATAATTCCAGGCAAAGAAGATTGACTTCACTCCACGCGTTCAACAGTAGTCCAGGTCCAGATCTACTAGCGTTCAACGGAAAATGCACAGGTCCAGTCTAAATTCTTGATTTTCGTAGGCAAAATCTAGAACGCTCCTGCTACTTCATGGCTTTCCTTGACTCATGGGTGTGATCTCTGAAAATCGGTCCTGAACCCTTTTCTTTCTTTCGCTCATTTCTAAGCCCCGGGAGACCGCAGTATATAAGCCGTGTGACCAGCCAAGGAGTTCATGCATGCATGTAGGACCACATCGGGTTATGGTCCTGTGGAAGGCGTGTGGGAACCGTGCACAGCGCAGAAATGAACCACTACCCCTCTCGCTAAAACATGAAAGCAAGCTAAGGCCATCTTCATCCCCCAGGCTTCTGCTTGGAGACAATCGCTAAACTTGTGTTGGTAACTACTGCTACCCGCGTACATCCAAATGTGGAACGGCGGCGTCGCCTCCCGTACATATGATCCACACCCATCCCCCGACCTGGGATCCAACACGGTGGCCGCCATCGGACCAAGGCAAGACCGGTGCGGTTGGCACTGACGAGTATATCCAAAATACAACACGTGATGGCCATGCAATGGTTCACGATCAACTCGGCCTCCGGCTTCTGCTGTCGAGGACACCATTCTAGAGGGTCGGACCAATCATATTGGGTACCTGACCCCAAATTTCAAAAATCTTCTGGGGCTCCCCGCGTGCCTCCTGGGGCACATCGAGTCTATCGCATGACTTTTCGGGCCCGCAAGTGCCCGAAGACGAGCCAACAGGGCCCAAAGATCCCGCCCAGACGGTCTAAGAGTGCACCGGATCACCTAACGATCGCGCCAAGACGCCCAAGATGACCCCAAGACGGCCCAAGAAGCCTTCGAGGCGCCCAAAGGGAGCCCCAAGAGGCTTCCCAAGAGGGCCCCGAGTTTCCAAAATCATTGATTTTACTTCGGTGTCTAAAAGAATTTGGCGTTCTCGCCTTTTTGGCTTTCCGACGCTCCAAGACGGACCAGGAAGCCCTCAAGACCGCCCCAAGACGGCCCCTGAGGCCCTCAAGTGGGTCCGAAGACGGTCCAAGCGGGCCCCAATACGGCCCAAGAGGCGCCGAAGACGGCCGAGGAGGGCCCCATCGGCGGTACGGTCCCAAGAAAGGCCCAAGGGAACACGAACCGAAAATTCAAGCCTTCCACCCCGAGAGGCGCCCAGGAGGCCTCAAGAGGCACCCAAGAGACCCTAAGAGGCCCCCAAGATCCCCCAACGAGGCCCCCAAGAGCTCACAAAAAAGAGGCCCCAAGAGGCTCCAAAACAGCCCCCTTGAGGCATCACAATTGCCTCTAGGAGGCCACCGAGAGGCCTCGACGAGATCCCAACGACCATCAAAGAGGCCTCAGACCCACAACCCAGGCACGGCGCGGGATGGACCGAAGGCCATTCGACACTGTTCGACACGCGCAAGACCCCACGCACGTAAGGCTCGACACTGGCTGCATGTGTATTACCTTTAACCGCAGGAGAAGAAATACTAGGATGGAGATTAACAGGGTGTGTCGAAACGGATGTTGTCTGTTCGGTTACCCTCACAATTCGACCTATTGTTATTCAGATTTACAAATGAGAGGGACGGGGGGATGAGAAGCCTCCCCGTCCTCCTGTTGTACAACTCAACGGAGCTCAGCGAAATGCTGGGAGAGGTGGGACCATAAAGCTCACGCCCCTATCAAACTCCATGTCGACGGTTCCTAGTCTTCCTATTAATCCTCCAACTCTTGTAAACGCAAATGGGGGAATAAAAAAACGAGTAAAGGCAACACCGGTAACTACTGATACCGTCTCGGCTACTCCTCATCCTAATCCGTACTCTTCCTCGTACCCCCATCATCTTCTTAAGGCATATCTACATGTACGGGTGGCAGTAGCAGCAAATACACAAAAATCATCTCGGCGGTTCCTCCTCCTCCTCCTCCTCCTCCCGCTTGCCTTTCGGGGGAAAGACGGAGGTGGACTCCCGTCTCCGCATGCTCGTTGTGTTGGAAGATGAGGCAGCAAAGGATGATAAGCAACTTCAAGGCCAAGTGCGCCTCGAGGCTAAGAAATTTCAGTCCTTGGGTCTTGCCGAAGATCTCGGACTCCTCACTAGAAGCATCGCCAAACTATATGGCGAAAGGGCTCGTGCAACAAAGCATCCGCAACGCGAAAATGCATCGAGCGTGGCTTTCATGCAATGTTGTTCCGCCGACGCTGGAGGGTGGCCGCGGAAAGAGGCAAGAAGGGGACGGAGGAACGATAACTATATAGAGAGAGGGGAATAAAGAAAGAGAGAGAGAGAGAGAGAAAAAAAAGAGAACAAAGAGAGCGAGAGAGAGAGAGAGACATAGAGAGAAGTGCAGTGGTATAGAGCTGGAAAGAGAGAGAGAGAGGAAACAACTATAGAAACGTGTAAGAAGGCGTTGGCCTGAGAGGCCAAATAAGCCGCGTTGGCCAGATACGATAGATGAAGTAATGAACATGCCAACGTCGTTGCCACATGTAAAACACTGTGAGGTCATAGGCTCTGCAATACACCGCGCGAATCACTCCGTCCCCATAGCAAACATTCACATTACATCCAAGCCGCGCGCGAGAGCTGAAGGATATTCAAATGTTGTTCTGCGTGATCGCGTCCATGAATACAAGCCTTGGCTAATCGCATGACGCTGCCAATAAAACTGACACTGTCACCACTGCAACACAAACGGCGACGTCGCGTGCCGTGTTGACCTGTACTTCGGGCTGGGATGTCACAGCATCATCGGCAACTGTTGTTGTCATGGGATCGCCAGTCGGAACTGGCGTTGGACCAACGGTTGGCTCTGAGGCAACAGTAGGGGCTCTGGTTGGCGCTGGCGTCAGATCGCTGGTCGGCTCGGGCGTGGAAGCGGGCGAGTCGCACATGTGCGGGAACAGCTGGCAATACCCGGAGTCCGGGGGACTGGGGCCCGGGGAGGCCGTCGCGCTCCAGCCCCACGATGCGTGGGAGCATGGCGCCCGCGTGTGGACGGCGACGCCCAGCAGCTGCACCGCGAGAGCGCCGCCCACGGCTGCCCGGGGGGCGTGCGGAGCCATGGCCAGGGCGCGCCGGATCGGCCGGCCGAGCTCTGTGAAGTGCCCCCCTTTGGGCCAAAATTGGCACGGAGGAGGGGAGGGGGCATTGAAGACGAGGGGAGGGTCGAGGCGGGGGCCAGAACCCGCCAGACCTTTGGAACACAGCAGCGCGGCCTTCCTCTTCCCCCTCGGCCCTCCGTCCCCCGCTCTCCCGCACCGCACGACCACGGGGCGGAGGCGACGGGAGCACAAACGCGCGCGGGCACAGCGGCGGCAGAGACGCACGCAAGGGCAGAGCGGCGGCGACGTGAGCGAGTGGACGGACCCTGCTTCCACCTTCACTCCGCGCCAACTTCGTGAGCCCTGGATCCAGAACCGTTGACGCCTCCGGGTGAGCAAGAGGCGACATAATCGTAAATTTTTGGAGGTCCGCGCGGATTTCTCGGATCCGCGCTGGGGCCCCCAGGGGCGGCGCCGGAGGCGCCGCCAGGGGGGCCCAGCTCCGAAAGTTTTACGAGGTGAGGACTTATCCATACCCACCGCCTGGGAACCGACGCCCTGGTCCCCCAGCGGGCGGTGGACATGGATACATTTGGCCCCCCGGGGGCCCGAATGTATCCATATCCACCGCCTGTGGAGGTCCGCGGAGATCGATCCCCCAGGCGGTGGCTATGAATCAATTCCCGCCTCGGAAGTATATCCGGCCGGCGAAAGGGGGGATAGCAAAGGGGGGGTTGAGAATCAGCTTCTGTAGCTGATTTTCCCGGCGCCTCACGAGGAGGTCATGTATCGAGGAATGGGCCCCTCGGTGGGGCCAAAACCAGCTGCATGCAGCAGATTTCGCACCCCCCCCTTTCCCAATCCCCCCCTTTTCGTCCGGCCCGAGTCTATGTTTTAGCGTCCTTTCCTTTTCGAGCCTCGCTGCTGCTTCAGCAACCTGCCGCTGGCCCTGCGCCCACTTCCGCCGATGGGCCTGCGGCCACTCTACGCTCAGGTCGGGCATGTCCTGCTGCAGGCGTAATTTTTGGGAAAAATCTAAGAAGTCAGAGGAAAAAAAGAAGAAGAACGATATTCAATTATCCTGGCAAAGCAACCTAACAGCGATGTGTAGGAGCATATCTGGAAGCATTCCCCTTAAGATTCAGATGAGAATTCAGTTGTAGAATTCTGCTGTTCTCGCAGTCGTAGTCGCATTCGCGATGACAGTCGCAGTGGCAACGGCAGTCGCAGTCACAGCCTCCGCCTCAGCCTGCCTCAGCCTCAGCCTCAGCCTGCCTCAGCCTCAGCCTGCCTCAGCCTCAGCCTCAGCCTGCTTCAGCCTCAGCCTCAATCTGCCTTCAGCCTCGCCTCAGCCTCAGCCTCAGCCTGCCTCAGCCTCAGCCTCTCAGCCTGCCTCAGCCTCAGCCTGCTCAGCCTCAGCCTCAGCCTCAGCCTCAGCCTCAGCCTCAGCCTCAGCCTCAGCCTCAGCCTCAGCCTGCCTCAGCCTCACTCAGCCTCAGCCTCAGCCTCAGCCTGCTTCAGCCTCAGCCTCAGTCTGCCTTCAGCCTCAGCCTCAGCCTCAGCCTGCTCAGCCTCAGCCTCAGCCTCCTGCCTGCATCACCTCAGCCTCAGCCTCAGCCTGCCTCAGCCTCAGCCTCAGCCTGCTTCAGCCTCAGCCTCAGTCTGCCTTCAGCCTCGGCCTCAGCCAGCCTGCCTCAGCCTCAGCCTGCATCAGCCTGCCTCAGCCTCAGCCTCAGCCTCAGCCTCAGCCTCAGCCTCAGCCTGCCTCAGCCTCAGCCTGCCTCAGCCTCAGCCTCAGCCTGCTTCAGCCTCAGCCTCAGTCTGCCTTCAGCCTCGGCCTCAGCCTCAGCCTGCCTCAGCCTCAGCCTGCATCAGCCTCAGCCTCAGCCTCAGCCTGCCTCAGCATCAGCCTGCCTCAGCCTCAGCCTCAGCCTGCCTCAGCCTCAGCCTCAGCCTGCTTCAGCCTCAGCCTCAGTCTGCCTGCAACCTCGGCCTCAGCCTCAGCCTGCTTCAGCCTCAGCCTGCCTCAGCCTCAGCATCAGCCTGCCTCAGCATTCAAAATCATGCCCAGGAATGGACTTCTGGGAACTCGGAGAACACGAAGTGGCCTACAGTTGACTCCAGGCATTCAAAATCATGCCCAGGAATGGACTTCTGGGAACTCGAAGACCACGAAATGGCCTACTGTTGGCTCCGGGCATTCAAAATCATGCCCAGGAATGGACTTCTGGGAACTCGAAGACCACGAAATGGCCTACCGTTGGCTCCGGGCATTCAAAATCATGTCCAGGAGTGGAGTTCTGGGAACTCGAAGACCACGAAGTGCGTTACTTTTGGTTAAAAAAGAGTCCCCGGCATCCTCCCCCGGATCGCGCCCAGACCCCCCTGGGGCGTCATGATGCTGTCTTTTGACCCTACTAGAAACCTATCAGTCTTCGCTGTTAGGTAAAATAATAGAAAAATCGCCCCCCCAGATGATTGTTTCACTACTTTTGGGTATTCCTCCTGTAGAGCGACGTGTCCGACTTAACTCTGCGCTGGCCGGCCTCCGCCGAAGGCGAGGGCCGCCGAAGTCGAGGCCCCTCCTGCAGTCCCCAGGAACACCCTCCGTCGTACACCGCCGACGCCTCTGCAGCGCCCGCGAGGCCGAGCATTTGCTGCGAGGCGGGGATCTATCCATATCCACCGCCTGGGAAACGACGTCCTGGTGCCGCAGCGGGCGGTGGATATGCTGGATATCCTTCGGCCCCCGGGGGCCCGAATATGCCCATATCCACCGCCTGCCGAGGCTCCGAAAACTGACCCTCCAGGCGGTGGTCATGTATAAATTCCCGCCTCGGATTTGCAAAACCCTGTCGTCGTCCGTCGTGAGCTGGAGGAGGAACAAAAATCCCGCTCACGGCCCACGAGGCCGAGCATTTGCAAAACCCTTTCATTCGTCGGTCAGGGCTCCGGCCCAGAGTTCTCTGTGTGTTGGCAGGCCTCTGGCCCTGTAGCCACCAGGGTGTCGAGCAGCAGGCGTCTGAACGTGGCATGCAAAATTATACACGTGCGGGGAAGGGGGGGGCTCCAACATGCATCTCGTCATGCATCTGTTCGGCATGTGTTTTCTCGTGTTTCTCGCCACAACGGGCCCAAGTGGGGGACCCATCTTCGGGCGCCAGATTCTTCACACGTAAAAATATGTCGAGCAACATGCGTCGGAAGTTGACACGTGAAAATAAGTGTTCGGAGGGAGGATCTTCAACATGCGCCTCGGCGTGCATGCGTTCGGCAAGTGTCTTCACACGTGTCTCGCCACAACGGCCCCCCAAAGGGGTGACCCAATTTCTGGTCGTCGGATCTCATACGCGTAAAGGTATGTGCCGAGCAGCAGGAGCCGGACTTGGACACATAGAGATACGCGTGCGGAGGAGGGGGAGGGCTTCAAGACGCGTCTCGGCCTGCATGCGTGTGGCACGAGTTTTTCACGCGTTTCTCACCAAAACGGGCCCCCCGACCGAGGACCCATCTGGTCGTCGGATTCCTTACACGTGCAAGAAGCATGTCGACCAACAGAGGCCAGAAGCTGACATGTAAAAATACAGGTGCGAAGGGGGGGATCTCCAACATGAGTCTCCGCGTGCATCCGTTCTGCACTTTCACATGTTTCTCCCCACAGCGGCCCCCCAGGGGGGACCCAACTTTTGGTAATCCGATTCTTCACGCGTAGAAATACATGAACGGATGGGGGGGGGACCCTAGGGGCGTTCCTGAACGCTCTGAGAAAACGCTCGCCGAAGGTGGGGCCCTTCCGGGGCTGCGCGGCGGGGGGGGGGGCGGAGCCCACTCGGTTCACGTTGTCCGCGCTCTGGCATCCCACAGCATGCTCTTGGGAACCAGCTACTGGGAGGTCTTCGTCGAAAGGATTAGGGAGCATTGAGCCCCACTGGGGGGCTGCTACGCCAGATCAGGCCGCGGACTGAGTGGGATTGAGCTGGATGGAGCAGGATCAAGCGGCATTGAGCGAGACTGGGCTGGATTAAGCCAGCGTTCGGACTAGGGCGAAGTGAGAATTTGACCTCCTAGGAGTTGCATCCAAAATGTTGCATCAATTTGCAGATTGATCTCGGCCATGTACCTTGCCCGTGGAGGCTGAAGACCTGGTCCTCGGGGCTGAAGGTCTGGCTCTCGGGGCGAATGCTGGGAGTCGGGAGCTGGAAGCTGGAGGAGGCGAGGAGAGGGAGGACGGCGACGATGGCGGCGGCGACGGCGACGGCGACCCAGACATGCGACGTCCTGATTTTTTCAATTCGGTGCTCCTGGAAGTCCCGACCCTTTCCCTGGGACCGGTTTTTCTTCCCGCATTGTTTCTTGACGGTCCCGAGGCCCGGCGAGGCCCCCCCGAGGCCGAAGATAGCCAAAAACCTCCCGCCCCAATATTTTCACGACGCGATCATGTCTGGGGAGGGAGAGCGGTGGCGACGGCCGCCGCACCCTCTGCGCGCCGCACGCCTCGAGCACGCGGTCCAGCGTCACCTCGTGGACCTCCTCGACCTTGCAGGCGAGGTGCACGCAGGCCAGCAGCACCTCGACCCCCCTCCAGCATTCCCTCCAGACCTCCACCCAGACCTTCCTCCTCCTCCTCCTCCTCCTCCTCCTCCGCCTCCTCCTCCTTCTTCTCCTCCTCCTCCTCCTCATCCGCCTCCTCGTACTCCTCCTCCGCCTCCCCCTCCTCCTCCATGCTTCGGCGGCGGGGGGGGGGGAGTGATAAGGAGGAGGCCTCCTCGGAAGGCGGCGGGGCTTCTCAGAAGCCCTCCAGCCTTCTGTGACATGTTCTGTGCTTTCAAGGAAGGCTTAGAAAACTTCTCAAAAGGTCGGAGGACCTCGCATGCGAGGTGCACACAGGCCAAGAGCACCTCGCCCCCCCCCCCTTCCAGACCTCTCTCCAGACCTCTCTCCTCCCCCTCCTCCTCCCCCTCCTCTCCCCTCCTCCTCCTCCTCCTCCTCCTCCTCCTCCTCCTCCTCCTCCTCCTCCTCCTCCTCTTCCTCCCCGTGCCGATGGCTTCCCGCAGCCTATGGGGTTCGACTCTTGTGAGGGACGCACGGGGCGCTGGTGAGGGAGTGCACTTCTCGCACTCCCGATGAGCACCCTCACAAGCACCCCTCAGGTTAGGGAGCTGGGGCGATACCAGCAATCCTTCTTGCATCTTGCCTTCATTGCTGCTACCCCGTCCTTCTCGGCCATTGTGCTACCCTGCTTGTCTTGCTCTTCCCAGCTCATCCCGCTACCCCTACCACCGCCTGGGAAGACCAAGGCGCGGGCATCCCAGCCCCTTTCAGCGGCCCCTCCCGCTATTCCTCCCGCTTGTTTTGACCCACCTGCTCTTCCGACGCGCACTCATCGCGTCAGTCGCCAGATCTCATTCCTCGTTTCCTGCACCCTCCTGTCGGCCTGCCCCCGCCCTCCCCAAACCCGAGCTCCTTCCCAACTCCCTGCCCCCTCCTATCTCTCTGCATGCGCCCTCCCCCGGCGCCGGTCGTCTCCATCTCCCATCCCTCTTGCTACTCCTGCCCCTGCTACCCGGCTACCCGCACAATCCTCCATATGTACCACGACAGTTTACCACATCTTATCTGCATTCTCTTGTTAACGCATGCGTGGCAGAGCAATCGCGCCAGAGGATTTATTAACCCAGCACGCGCGAAAGCATGTTTGGTGGCCATCCCCGTCTGGTGAGAGCCCTGCGTGGCACGTGCGCTCCCCAAGAGCGAAGGGGGGCATGATTTGTCCGCTTCCGTGGGCCCCTTTGGAGTCGAAACTTGTAGTAGGCTCGGGGCGGAGCAACGAAAATGTCACGAATTTCGGTCTGCCAGGGGGGGAAACGTAACGAATTTCCCCCCGCTGGGTAGCAGAGTATTACAGTCGTGCTTCCTATTTGATCTTCTTAAGCCACCAGTCCATACTGAATGTTCTTAATATTGTGGCATCTTCATACGCCTACTTCCCATCGTATAGTTTCTACACCGCCGCACTTCTTCGTCTCGCTCCCTTTCTCTCCCTCTCTCTCTCTCTCTCCCTCTCTCTCTCTCTCCCTCTCTGGGCTCCCTGCCCCCTTCTATCTCTCTGCGCGCGCCCTCCCCCAACGCCGGTCGTCTCCATCTCCCATCCCTCTTGCTACTATCCCTCCTGCCCCTGCTACCCGGCCACCCGCACAACCCTCCATATGTACCACGACAGCTCACCACATCTTATCTGCATTCTCTTGTTAGCGCATGCGAGGCATCTTCTTAAGCCACCAATGCATACTGAATGTTCTTAATATTGTGGCATCACACCTTCGCCTACTTCCCATCGAATAGTTTCTACACCGCCGCACTTCTTCGTCTCGCTCCCTTTCTCTCCCTCTCCCTCTCTCTTTCTCTCTCTCTCTCTCCCTCTCTCTCTCCCTCTCTGGTCTTGCCTCGCCCTCCCTCTCCCTGTCCCCCGTCATCGGCTTATCCACCATCATACCCCTCGCTCCTACCCGACATTCTCTCGCTCTCCCCCAGTTTCTCGCTGGAGGCCCCAGTGCAGTCACCCAAGTTCCGACTCTACTATCCCCCTCGCTTGCCCAAGCAGTGGCCCTCGACAGCTATTTCTCGAATGGTGGCCGCCTCTTCTGCCCCCTCGGACAGGGGCAGCATACCAGCCCCTTTCGTTCACGGCGCCACGCCACACAGGGACCAGCCACCCTTAAGGCTGTGTATTCCGCCAGTATCCTCCTCCTCCTCCTCCTCCTCCTCCTCCTCCTCCTCCTCCTCCTCCTCCTCCTCCTCCTCCTCCTCCTCCTCCTTCTCCTCCTCCTCCTCCTCCTTCTCCTCCTCCTCCTCCCCCCCCCTCGCGCAAGCCAGCAAGGGGTCAAACTCCGCCGGCGAGCGCGCCGCGAAGAAGCGCCGGTAGAACACGGCGGCGGCCCAGCAGACGGCCGAGGGCGCGCCACAGGCGGCGCAGACCTCTCTCGGAGGGTCTCTGGCGGCCAGGTTCGTCGTCGTCGTCGTCGTCGTCGAGGCCGTCGTCGCTACGCCGCTCTTGCATCCCCGCGGTCCTCCTCCACCTCCCTCCCCTCTTCGCCTTCCTCCTTCTCCTCAAGTTTCCTTATCCTCCCCCACTCTCCTTCCTCCTCTGCCCCCTCCTCCTCCTCCTCCTCCTCCCTCCTCCTCCTCCTCCTCCCTCCCCTCCTCCTCCTCCTCCTCCTTCTCCTCCTCCTCCTCCTTCTCCCTCTCATCTGCCAATGTCCGCTGTCACCCGCCCTCTCCGCCTGTAGCTCATCCCTTTTCGTCTTCGTCCGCTGAATGCTCCTCTTTCCCCTTCTCCGCCGCCTCCTTCCCCCCACCAAAGAGCCAATGCGATTATGCCCACTACGCCGTTTGTTCTCGACGCGCCCAAGGACGACGCCGACACGACGGCAAACCCACGGCAACCCCTGCGCCCCCGCGCCCCAAGTAGACGACGCCAGCACCGCAGCAAACCCACGACGAACCCACCACGTCCGAGGCGGCGTTTGCCCCAGTGGCCGAGGCGCCCTCCCCAAGACACAAGGCTGCGCGTCGGAACAAATGCCGCGGCGACATATCGAGAAAGGAATTACGCGTCCTGTGACACTGTGAAGCGATATCCCTCTCTCCTCCTCTCCCTCCTCCCTCGTCCTCCATCTCAGCTGCTCCGCCGCCTCCTCGCCCCCTTTACTCCGCCCCTCCCTTTCTCCTCGCTTGCATCATTTTCCTTCTCCCCATCCCTCTCCTCGTGCTCCTCTTCCTCCTCATGTTCTTCTCCTTTCCCTGTCCTGCGCATCCCCTCGTCTCCTCTTCCTCTCCCTCTCTTCATCGTCATCTTCTGATTATCCTCCCGCTCCTCTCCCTCTCTTTCTGCCCCCCTTCCTCCTCATGATCCTGCGAAACCACACCTTATGAATACTACCCTCTCCTCTCTCCCCCGAAGAGTGTTGAGAGTGTCCCGCCCTCCCCGTTCATGTGCTGTTGCACAAGATGTCGAACTCTGATATGGCTTCGGTCTTGTCCCGATCCGAGTCTTTTCGGTCCTCGCGCGCACGCGCACACGCACACGCACACGCACACGCACACGCACACGCACACGCACACGCACACGCACACGCACACGCACACGCACACGCACACGCACACGCACACGCACACGCACACGCACACGCACACGCACACTCACACACACACACACACACACACACACACACACACACACACACACACACACACACACACACACACACACACACACACACACACACACACACACACACACACACACACGTAGCACACACACATACTTAGCACACAACAACGAACCACACCACACCACACCACACCACACCACAACTCACATACACATACACACATACACACATAGACACATAGACACATACACACATACACACATACACATATCCACACACGCTAACACACACGCTGACACACACGCTGACGCACACGCTGACACACACGCTGACACACACACACACACACACACACACACACACACACACGTACACACGAACCCGCACACGCACACGGACCCCCCCCCCCACACACACACACACACACACGCACACACACACACACACATACACACACACACACACACACACACACACGCGCGCCCACTAGCAAGGAGCATCGGGCACCAACACCCGAGGCGTCCCTCGACCCCCCACGTAGCGACGAGATGGCATAGCGGCCTGACGCCGCGGCTTGCGCGGCCGCCAGCGCGGCACGCCACCTTGGAAACGAGGCCGCTTGCGCGCGACCTTGCGCGGGTATCTTGCGCGCCAATGTCGGCGAAGACGAAGCCGTTCTCTCGCGCCGCTCGCGTGGTCCCAAATGGCACGCTGCAAACTCTAACAGGCCCCTCCTCCTCCTCCTCCTCCTTCTCCTCCTCCGCCTCCTCCTCCTCCTCCTCCTCCGCCCCCCACCCCCGAGCCTCCGAAAGGCCCCGAGGCAGCCCCAGAGGAGCCCCCGGGCCCCCCAGAGGCCGCCACTGCCCGTGCTGTGTGTGTGTGTGTGTGTGTGTGTGCTCCATGCCTCCGCACAACAAGCGAGCGCGCCGCTCCGCGCGCACCTGCATGACTCCTATTGGCCTTGCCGCCTCATCCATGGCACTTCCCAGCATGACCAGATGCCCACAGCGATGCCATACGGTGAAGGTATCGGATGAGAAACCTTGCAGCTCCCTGTTCCAGTTGCAGCTTCCGGTTTCCACTGTTACAGTCCTTACTGTTAATTGTTGCTGTCCGCGCGAGGGGTGGGAGCCCCAAATGGATTTGTTTTGTCACGCCCTGGGTTCTCAGAAGAATTCCCCGGGGGGGTAAATCCTCCCAAACTGCACAATGTTCGCGTCCCCAGGGCCATAAACCCTCGTGAATTACACCATACTTGCGTCCCCGAGGCCACAAACCAAGGGAAATTAATGATAATTCGCGTCCCCGAGGCCGTAAACCCTTATAAAGTATACAATACTTGTGCCCCAGAGGCCATCAACCATCGTAAATTACACAATCTGTGCGTCCCCGAAGCCACAAACCCTCGTCGTGTTACGCAATATTCGCGTCCCCGAAGCAATAAATCATTGAAATGTTTATAATATTCGCGCCACCGAAGCCATACACCCTCGTACATTAATTTTGGCCCTCGCATGAAGTCCCGACATTGCTTCACGTCAGCGTCCAGACATCCCAACACAGCTCTGGCAAGTCCCATTCTAAGAAAGGGGGGCCGGCGGCAGGTGGCGAAGCCCTTACGGATACCACTGACGCCCTCATCGGAGAAGGAGTCCCGAAGGTCTGAAGCCTTCAGAGCACATTCCTTATTCAACGCCCCCACTGGGCTGGCGGACTGAGCGGAGCGGCCCAATCATCTTGGCGAAGGGCCCAACCGCATGCAGCTGCGTGAAGTGCAGGGCACGGCCCTCGCGACGTATAATCATTGCGCGCCGCGGGGGGGATGGAGCGCGAGGAAGTGAAGAGCGACTAGGTAGATAAAAAAAAACGCTTGGCTCAAGTTTCGTATCGCAAATTGTTATCGCACTAGAGGCTGCTGCCGACATGGGCTGTCGTGAGGACGCATGCGGGGTCCCTCACCACTCACTGATGCCGTAGGCAGAGCTCCCTGTGGGGCGCGATCCATGCGAGGTATACGCTGACATACGCGTGAGTGCGCATGCGGGGCTCTCGCTTCGACGGCGAGCCCGGGAGGGACGTGAGAAGGAGAAGGCCTTCTCAGAAGGCTCGGAAGTCCCCCGGCCTTCTGAGAAGCTTCCGGAGCCTTCCCCGAAGACACAGAAAGCCTCTCAGAAGGCGCGAATGCTTCTGAAAAGTCCCGCCGCCTTCTAAGAAGCCCTTTTCCGTCTCACTTCCCCCCTCGCTCGCCGCCGATCACTGGTGCCGTAGGTGAAGCTCCGTATGAGGCCCAATCCGGATCTGTGTGAGAACTGTGCTGATATGCGCGTGGGGGCGCATGCGGGCGCCCTCAACGGCGCCGCAAGTGGAGCTTCCTGTGGGGCACGAGCTGCGCAAGGGGAGTGCCGAAGTGGGCGTGGGCAGGCGCCCGCACTGGTGCCGCAGGTGGAGCTCCCTGTAAGGCACGATCTGCGAGAGGGGTGCGCCGGGATGGGGGAGGAGGACGAGGATGGGGAACGAGGATGGGGGATGATGATGGGGGACGATGATGATGATGCTGCTGATGATGATGATGATGGTGATGATGATGATGATGATGATGATGATGATGATAATGATGATGATGATGATGATGAGGAGGAGGAGGAGGAGGAGGAGGAGGAGGAGGAGGATAATGAGGAGGAGGAGGATAATGAGGAGGAGGAGGAGGATGGGGGAGGAGGAGGAGGAGGAGGAGGAGGAGGAGGAGGAGGAGGAGGAGGAGGAGGGAGGAGGGAGGAGGGAGGAGGCGGCGGAGGAGGGAGAAGAGGGGGAGGCGGAGGAGAAAGAGGAGACGCGCGGTGCTGCGGAGAGAACCCGAGGATCCTCTCGGCACGGGATGGCCAGGAATCAGAACGTCGCCCGTCCTCGCGCCTCGCGCTGCGCTGCGGGTTTCATGAAGCATCCACGGGCCGTCTGCCACACCTCGCTAAAGCGTCGCCAAGGCCTGGCCTTTAGGAACACCGTTTTCCTCATCTGGTATCTCTGCGATGGCCTGCCTGATCTGGGACGAGCACGGTGTCATGGTAGGATTGGCTCCGGGCACGTTCCGCCATTTCCAGGGTATCAGCCTGTGTGGAAAATTTTGGGACATCTGGAAAAGCGTGGAGGCCTCTCATTCTCATGATCTCTTCGGCCTCTGATGATCGTGCTTGCGTGCGCGGCCGGCCCCACTTTTCTGGGAGTGACGGCGACCAGAGCGAACACCTTCCAGAACATTCGTTGGGCCTACAGCCTACATCTGTGCTAATAATATCGTTTGCCCCTCCCGTGAATCAACATCGAACGCTTGCTCTCTCGACAATTGCTCGCGCATCTCATCTTACGCACATGCGATTGGGTCCTCTGGCATGAGGGGCAACGACAGGGGGGACCGGCTCAGAGGGGGGACATCGACAATCGAGCTGGAGTCGGCGATGCATCGCCGATAGATCGGCGACGGGCCCCCGATACCGAAACCGCACGTTCCTGGGCGGGGTAAGCTTTCGGGCTCCTATCGGCAATGAATGGGCGATTGGTCGGAGCAAGGCGAGTCGAGACAACGGTAGGCAGCTCAAAATCGGTCCACGGACCCCTTCCCGGGTCCAAGCACACCAGTTTTCCGAGCTGCGTCCAGCCGTGGCGACGAGGGGGCCCCCCGAAGGTCAATATCTCGGCTCGCCCTCAACTGCGTTAAGAATCGAGGCATCCCCCTGAGCCCCCCCCCGTGACGTTGCCCCTAATTCGGCTACACGTAAGAGTGACCCTAGGCAGAAGTGACCTTTGGTG